TTCTGTTGTCAATAGATAAGACATACATCAAGCAAGATCTAACATTTTTCAACATTTTTTGGCAATAAATCCAGCCGTGTATGTGCAAACTTGATCATTCAATAAACTACTCTATTAATGTCATCTAATATAAATCCATCAGTTTTTACATTAGATGAAATTAGAACAACAACAATGTTTTAATAAATCAATCCTACCTTCTATTTTATCAAGCATACAATTGTCAGAGTAAAAATGGATGGCATGAAATTTATTGATAACAAGGGTTTTGTATGATCCTATAAATGCACTGCAATTAGTATTAACAACATAGCTTCTAATACTGCCAAAAAAATTTCTAAAGAACTTGATCATTCAATAAACTACTACTCACGCCACCTAATGTAAATCCATCAGTTTTCACATTAGATGGAGTTAGAACAATAATAATGTTTTTAATGAATCAATTGTACCTTCTGTTCTATCAAGCTCCTAAATTGGCAGCAGAATTGGCAGTATAAAATTTATTGATAACAAGGGTTTTGTAGGATCCTAAAAGGCACTGTCAGTAGTATTAACCCCGTGGCTTTTAATACTGCAAAAAAAATTTCTTTAGAACTGAATCATTCAATAAACTACTATATTAACATAATATAAATATAAATCCATTAGTTTTAACATTAGATGAAGTTAGAACAATAATAAAGTTTTTAATGAATCAATAGTTAATCAAGCTCACAATTGGCAGAGTAAGAATGGATGACACGAAATTTATTGATAACAAGGGTTTTGTAGGATCCTGTAAATGTATTGCAAGTAGAATATTGGTTATTAACCGGTTTTGGCTTATAATACTGCCAAAAAAAAATTCTAGAGGATTTTGATTGAAATTCATTGGATTTTATTTTCTTCTAGATATACGAGGTGTGTTCAAAAAGTACCCGAAATTTTTAAATTTCGCGGGTCTGGAGTGTCTGATTGTCAAAATTTTTTTTTTATTGTGTTGGTATACATGCCCCTAAAGTATGATGAAATTTTCAGCTATATTCACTGTTTACTTTGTCTGTGGTAGTCGCTAAGTTCGACGTGTTTTTCTGAGCTCGGCGATTTTTACAATGGAAGAATTGAAAAGTCAAAGAATTTGTATTAAATTTTGCGTAAAAAATGAAATAAAGTGTAACAAAGTGTGTGAAATGTTACAAAAAGCCTATGGTGAGTCTGCTATGAAAAAAACAAGTGTTTACGAGTGGTATAAGCGTTTCCAAGATGGCCGCGAAGACGTTGAAGATGACGAACGCTCCGGTCGACCCAGCACGTCAACAAACGATAAAAAGGGGAAAGAAGTGGAAAAAATGGTTATGAATGATCGCCGAATCACAATTAGAGAAGTTGCTGATGAAGTTGGCATATCAATTCATTAACAATTCATGGCTGTTGCACCACGATAACGCACCTGCTCACTCGTCGTTGCTTGTTCGTAATTTTTTGGCCAAAAACAATACCGTAGTCATGCCCCAACCTCCATATTCACCAGATATGGCTCCGTGTGACTTTTTCCTATTCCCAAAGTTGAAGAGACCCATGAAAGGACGGCGGTTTTCCTTGATTGAAGAAAATCGCTGAGAGTGCTCAAGGACATATCAAAAAGTGAATATCAAGGGTGCTTCGAAAATTGGAAAAAACGCTGGCATAAGTGTATTATATCTGGGGGGGACTACTTTGAAGGGGACCACATTAATGTAGACGAATAAATAAATATTTTTTTGAAAAAACGAAAATTCCGGGTACTTTTTGAACAGACCTCGTATTCCTATAAAACAGTTGTCAGGGAACCGGAGAAAAATTGCAATAAAATGAATAAAAAAAATAAATTACCCCAATTTGGGTAAAAATTGAATTTTTGGAGTAAATAATTCAATTTTTACAAGTGGAGATGGAACTAAAGTAAATTTCCCAAATTTGGGTAAAAATTGAATATTTGGAGTAAAAAATTCAATTTTTACAAGTGGTCAGGAAACCGGAGTAAGTTACCCCAATTTGGGTAAAAATTGAATTTTTGGAGTAAAAAGTATGTATTTTTAATTGATATTCACTGAATTTGCTGCGGTAATCCCTCTTTACCATGGGGTTAACATCAACATAGACAAAAATATTTTGGGGCAATGAATGAAAAATGTTTCCCGATCACTGCTCTAAAGTCTTAATCCAACTTTGAATAATTGTAGGAGTTTTAACTCTATTGTCTTTGTTGTAGAAACTTATGCTTTTAAAAATACTTTTAGCCACTTTCCAAATTAATAAATAGTTGGACTTATCTGGTGAATCACCATGTGGAACTTTACAGTCTCTGTCAGAGTTTGAAGCTGACCCATTTACACTGTCGAACTGCTTGTCTACAAAATTAAAGAAATCAGCAGTCCCAGTGAAGAAAATTATCTAAAATATGATTAAAATACAATATAATAAAAAACAGCAATAAAATGCAGCAAAACATTATTTTCATTTACTTACTTTACATTTATTTTTGTCATTTTTTATGGATTTTAGCCACTATCCAAAATAAATAAATTGTTGGACTTATCTGTTGTAGCACTATGTAGAACTTTATAGATTCTGGCAAAGTTCGAAGATGACCCATTTACACTGTCAAACAGCTTGTCTACAAAATTAAGGAAATAAGCAGTCCCAGTGAGGAAAATGATCACCTAAAATATGATTAAAATACAATATAATAAGAAACAGCAATAAAATACAGAAAACAATATATTTTACTTACACTTTACATTCATATTTCTCATCTTTTCTAAATAAACATTGTGTGTCTGCAACCTATATATAAATATATATATATTTATATATCACATACAGGTGAGTTAGGTGATTCAGAATCAATTTCATATAATTTGCTTATATGACTAAGATACTTTTTTAAGCTGATTATGTTGCACAAATGTAATTTCATATAATAAAAAGCGGTTCCTTAGACATTTGATCATATATGCTGAGGATCATACAGCAATTTCTTGATTTTCTATAAAAAAGCCTTGAAGTTTTTGCACACTCTAGCATTCCTAACAAACATCTGCAGCAATTTGTTGTCTCAGTGAGCAAATTATTTATTACAGCTACATTAGTAGCATGTTGATCACTTACCATAGCTGCAATATTGATGCCAATTTCCTGCAGGATTTAAATAATATTTTTGATGCAGAGTTTAGAATTTTTTGCAGCTACATAAGTGCTATAGCATGTTGATCACTTACCGTAGCTGCAATATTGATGCCAATTTCCTGATGCTAGGTTTGAAATAACATCTTTGATGCAGACTCAGAGTTCAGGATTTTTAACACTGCCTGCAGCAAAGTAAAATACTTCAGATGTTTTAAAAGGGCCATGAATGCCTTTAATCATAAATACTGTAAAGCATGATCAGCAAACTTTGGCCTTCTCTCAAAGACTTCCTCGAAGCCAATGATGCTGTTCTTACTTTACTCATATTCAATACCTGCAGAAATGCTGATCTGATCCAACATGAGGACACAGTTTCTTTTAGGAGGATCTATCCTGAGAACAGAAGTCCACAAGGTATCCCTTACCATGATCCAGATTTATGGAATAATTCCCAATGAGCTTGGAACAGTGCTATTTGTGCCTAACAACATTTATACAGATTTAATTATATTATATTTATCTAATAAATTATTTATACAAAATGTATATATTATTATATATCATGCAATTTCTGGATAGGTAAGATGCCTACGATGCTTTACCAGCACAAATTCTAAGAAACCTCTCCATGTCGCTCAAATATCATATATTTAAAATTAAAAAAACAAGAAACCAATAAATTTATCTTTTTAAAAAATGTTGATTGATTGATAGGAATATGAAGAATACTGGCAGAAATAATAGGTGTACTTGGAACATCAGGAACATCAAACATCTGCAGGAACAGCATTGGGTATTTGAGGAAACAGCTTGCAATCCACTAAAATTTAAACTAAACTGCATAATTTCTTTTATATATATATATATATATATATATATATATATATATATTTTAAAGTAACTAGCAGCCCATTTGTCAAAATAAACAGATAAAGTATTAAAAACTTTTATTTATACGTTTCGACACCAGATGCATGTCATCATTCAGCAACTACAATAAATTTGAAAAATTTTACTAATAATAAAAACCAACATAAAATAATTATAAACATAGAGAAATATTATACATACCATCAGGACAAAAACACACAAAAAATATTATTTTAAAAAATTAAACTTGTATCATATTAGAAAAGGACATTTTTTTGGAAAAATAATAATAACTACAAAATTAATTAAAATGTAAAAATTACAATGTTGTCAAATTCTTTAAATTTCTTTTTAAATTTATTGTAGTTGCTGAATGATGACACGCATCTGGTGTCAAAACGTATAAATAAAAGTTTTTAATACTTTATTACCTTTTTATTTTGACAAATGGGCTGCTAGTTACTTTGAAATATGTTTCAACGTCGAAAAAACTATCAAGATATATATATATATATATATATATATATATATATATGTTGAAAGTGAGTTGAAAGTTTGATGATGAAATGTATGATTGATTTCTTGGAGGGCGTAACATCAAGTAAAAAATAAGTAAGGTAAAGATTTTTTTAAAAATCTTTATTTTTCCATACATTTCGACGTAAAATTCTATGTCATCATCAGTGGTTTTGAATTTCTTACACATTACACATATTAATACAACTTGTAAAAATTAATAATTGGAAACAAGCACTAAATGTCAGTAATTTCTTTTTTATAAAAAGAATAAAAAATAAAAAGTAATTAATAAATAAAATATTATACATAAATACATGTGTATCCAAAGCCAGTGCCATACAGAAATACATCTTTACCTTACTTATTTTTTACTTGATGTTACGCCCTCCAAGAAATCAATCATATATATATATATATATATATATATATATATATATATAAATTAAATGATTTTAAATTACCCTCAATAAGAGATAACACATCTAACAATCCAGAATGCAACAATGAAATTCCACATTTGATAACAATTTCTGAATGTTTTACGACTGCCCTTTCGTCTGATGTTGATTGCACTGGATAGTGCGCTGTGAAAAATGGTCTTTCATGGATTCCTCCTGGAATAAATATAATAGATTTTATTTACTTCATATAGTCATCAATAAAGATATATAGTCAGAGATAAATACAAAGTTAACCGCTTAATGCTTACGGTTGAGCTCAGTTTGTTTGCACAAAACTGGAAAATTTGCACACGAACTAACTCAGTTCATTCATAGGAGTTTTTAAACTTTTTGCATTTTGTTGGACGAGATCACCAAAACAGATTCAAACAATTTTATAATATATTTTACTATATAAACAATTTCAATAACTTCAAATACATTTCAATAACAAATATAATTATATATCAATGCCTTTTGACTCGATTCTTCATTTGTTATTCTAAACTAAACTATACTAAACAAAATGTTCTTTTAATTATTTATCTCATAATAATAACATTCTAAACACATTGCCATAGAAAATATGATGATTTTATGACAGTAAATTATTAAAAAAAGTTATGCATTAAGTGGCTAAAACTCAATATAGGTAGATAATATGCATTACTATTGTCAATTATTATACCAAAATTGTTTTCAACCAGGAAACAATTATTTTTCAACAAATGATCCCCATTGAATCCGGCCATGTTCAATTGGTAAAGAACCAAGTTTGAGGTTGGAACCATTCCAAGAACCAGGCATCCTGCATGTCTCGCCAAAACGCTCGGTGCACACTCGTTTCTTCTGGTAAACATCAGCCCAACTCATGGTATTCAAAACCAGCAACTGGATGCGTTTCAACCATTCAACGAGCACCGAGCTATTTTGCGGAAACCTGTGCAAAATCGTATTTTTACGCGTGTTACTGCAACCAGGAACAATGCATTTGCGACCCATAACTCCAGATGCTTGAATAACTATAACAAAAATGTAAATCACTCACGAAAAGATCAATAACAAAACAATTTTATCGGAATTTGCAGAATTCAAAACGAACGCAATATCAAAATGGCGATTTTATAGTAACCAACATAAAATATTTGATCCATAGATAAAAGAAGAGTAGATTTGATCTTTTCGTGTTGCTCTTGACATCGGCTAATAGCGCCAAATGTGCGGCTGGTGTGCGAGCACCAAACTATACTGTGTGAACGTTCATAGATAAATAAATCATCCGATTTGGATGATTCAAAAAACTTTCTGCTGGTATTGACGAAAGGATTGCTTTCGGAAACAACAAAATTTTTATTTATTTTTTTTTTAATTTCCACAAAGAATTTTTTTGAATATCGAAAATAAATCAAATTTTAATTGTTTTTCTAGCTAAAGTTCTAAAGCTCACTATAATATACTCAAAATAATTATTTTTAACTTTGCAATTCAGTTTATATAATTTTTTTAAATATTAGACAATGTCCTTCATTTTAAATTCGATTGATTAAGTTTTGTTTATTTAATTTCCTATAAACATATAAGTTACAGTATTTGAAAAAATAATCTATTTTATAGCATTTAATATTCCTCGAATAATTATTCACGGTACGGGAAGCTCCAACAATTTGCCTTAAGGCACGATGCCATTTACCATTAGTTAACTTCCCGTAGAGTAAGTTATTGTAATCGTCCAAAAATTGAAATTGAAATTTTTACATTTCTTCACGTTTTGAAGGTTTCTAAATATTTCTGGCATCCCTCAGAAAAATGGGATATATGCGTGTGTGTATATGTATGTATGGATACAATTTTTCGTCCACGTTTTCGGGCGCACGAATCAGCCGATTTGAATGGTTCAAAAAACATTCGATTCCTATTGACAGGGAGATGTGCTGATTAGTTTTTGGCAAAGGCTGGTCCAGCCGCTTCGGAGATACAGTACAAAGAGTGCAGAAAATAGAAATCAAGTTTTTCAGAGAACTGAGCATCCGATCGAGATAATCCAAAAAACGTTCAATTCGTAATGACGGGAAGAAGTGGTGATTAGTTTTCGGCAAACGCAGGTCCAGCCGTTTTGGAGATACCAAGCTAAATGTGCAATAAATGGCAGTTTCTGAGAGAAATAAGTATCCGATTTGGATGATTCAGAAAACTTTCTGCTTGTGTTGACGAAACGATTGCTTTCCGAAACAACAAAATTTTTATTTTTTTTTTTAATTTCCACAAAGAATTTTTTTTGAATATCGAAAATAAATCAAATAAATAATCTTAAAAATATTAGACAAAAATTAGATTGATTAAGTTTTGTTTATTTAATTTTCTGTAAACATATAAGTTACAGTATTTAAAAAAATGTATTGAATTTTTATTGCAATGTATTGAAAACATTTTAATATTTATCGAATATTTATTCACCGTACGAGAAGCTCCAGCAATTTGCCTTAAGGCACGATGCCATTCACCACTAGTTAACTTCCCGTAGGGTAAATTATTGTAATAGACCAAAAATCGAAATTGAAAATTTTCACATTTCTCGACGTTTTGAAGGTTTCTGAACATTTTGGAATCTCAGAAAAATGGATGTTTGTGTGTGTGTGTGTTTTGTATGTCCGCACTTTTTCGTCCACGTTTTCGGGCGCACGGATCAGCCGATTTGAATGATTCAAAAAACATTCAATTCCTATTGATAGGGAGATGTGCTGAATAGTTTTTGGCAAAAGCAGGTCTAGCCCCTAAGGAGATACGGAGCAAAGAGTGCAGAAAATACAAATTGAGTTTTTGAGAGAACGGAGTATCCGATTTGAATGATCTAGAAAACATTCAATTTGTAATGACTAGGGGAAGTGGTGATTAGTTTATTACAAAGGCAGGTCCAGCTATTTCGAAGATACAGACTTAAATGTGCAAAAAATGGTAGTTTTTGAAAGAACTAAGCGTCCGATTTGAATGATTGATTGCTTTTGAAAAAACATTTTTTGTTTCGATTTTTTTTTGTATATTGAAAATAATTCAGATTTTAATTTGAATTCTTGCTAAAGTTCTAAAGCTCACTTATATACTTTTAATAAATAATTTAACCTTTGCAGTATTAGACAATGTTGCAATATTTATAACATACTGTAGCATTGTCTAATATTTATAAGAATTATATAATCTGAATTACAAAGTTCAAATTATTTACTTAGAGTATATAAGTGAGTTTTTTTTTAGCCAGAATTAAGATTGAAATCTCAATTATATTCTATATACAAAAAATATTTTTTTAAAAAAAACATTGAAAAAAAAATGAAACATTTTTTTCCCAAAAGCAATTATTTAGTTAAAACAAGCAGAAAGTTCTTTGAATCATTCAAATCCGACTATTTTTTGGACATTTAGCTCTGTATCTCCGAAACCGCTGGACCTGACTTTGCCAAAAATTAATCACCACTTCTCCCCGTCATTACAAATTCAATGTTTATTGGATCATTCGAAACCGATGCTCTGATCTCTCTAAAACTCAATTTCTATTTTCTGCATTCTTTGATCCGTATCTCCAAAACGGCTGGACCTGCCTTTGCCAAAAACTAATCAGCACATCTCCCTATCAATAGGAATCGAATGTTTTTGAATCATTCAAATCGGTTGATCCGTGCACCCGAAAACGTGGGCGAAAAATTGTATCCATACATACATACACACATCCATTTTTTCTGAGGTATGCCAAAATGTTCAGAAACCTTCAAAACGTGAAGAAATGTAAAAATTTTCAATCTCGATTTTTGAACGATTACAATAACTATCCCTATGAGAAGTTAAAAAATAACCTTTTTGAGAGGATTTTACTAACAATTATGGCTCAATTGCAAGCCTTATTAATTAAGCCTGGGTTGGATATAGAAAATTATTAATAAAATATTTACACAAGTCATTGATAACAATGTTTATTTATTTCATATTATATATAATAATTAGTTCATATACCAAATTATCATTAATTACTATAAGCAGTCATATGTAACCTTTTGACTAGTTTTGTAAATACTATTACTCATTGGTATGAGCAACCATGTGCTTTTTCAGGGTATTTGATTGTTTGAATACTTTATCACAGATTTTGCATTTGTAGGGGCATTCTCTGGTGTGAATGAGCATATGTCTATTCAAGTTACTCAATTGTATGAATGCCTTATTACAAATTTGACAAATATGGGAGCGTTCACCAGTGTGAATAATCATATGTCTATTCAAGTTAGCCAAAATTGTGAATGTCTTATCACAAATTTGGCAAATATGAGGGCGTTCACCCGTGTGGATGAGCATATGTTTTTTCAAGTCAGATAATTGTGTGAATGTCTTTTCACATATTTTGCAAATATAGGGGCGTTGCTCACCAGTGTGGTTGAACATATGTCTATTCAAGTTACTCAATTGTATGAATGCCTTATTACAAATTTGGCAAATATGGGAGCGTTCACCAGTGTGAATAATCATATGTCTTGAACTGTAATAACAATTCGAATCATTATTTTGTTTAATAATTACAAAACGCCCTGCTAGTTATATGTAGGTTACGCGGACATCGGAAGTGCTTACTGTTGGATTTTGTAAATAGGTTGTAAACAATAAGTTAGTATATAAGAGTTAGACAAAAGTTAGACAGGCAGTCAAACCTGGAGTAAGACTCGGAGACAGACATAGAGTTGGTCAGACATAGTATTCAGTAAAATGTAGTCTTTGCTGATATGATAACCAAAAGGTTATCAACAAATATTAATTGTAAAAATAGTATCATAATAAAGAAAATTGTAAAAATAAAGTATCATTCAAAGAAAGAAGTGTGTTTGAAAATTACTATCAAATCGCTGTTCGTCCTAAAGGCCTATCACACTACCAGTGGACTCAGGAGAGTCCACATCAAAATATAATACTTCAACAACTAATCAACTGTTCACCGCTCGGGTCCAGCCTATCATTACAATTCCTGGTCGTACTGGTGATCCAAAACATACCTCCCAATATATCAACCACCAGTCAGGACAATTCAGTCTATTCAAGCTAGCCAATTGTGTGAATGTCTTATCACAAATTTGGCAAATATGGGGACATTCACCAGTGTGTATGAGCATATGTCTATTCAAATGACCTGATTCTGTAAATGTCTTACCACATACTTTACATTTATTAGGACGTACCCCAGTGTGAATTAGCATATGCGATTTCAAGGTACTCAATCGTGCGAATGTCTTATCACATATTTGGCAAATATGTGGCCGTTCACCAGTGTGAATTAGCATATGCAATTTCAAGCTACCCAATTGCGTGAATGTCTTATCACAAATTTTGCAAATATGCAAACGTTCACCTGGTCCCTTTGCAGTATGAGCGCGAATATTTCGTTTTTGATTACTAGATTCATTCGAATTTAAAATTTGTTCTCTTGCAGAAGCACAAATGTGTTGATCTAAATGATATTTTTCAGTAAATGCTTTATCACACTTTGTACATGTGAAATGTTTTTCACCTGTATGAGATTTTATATGTATTTCTAATGCACTTGCATCTGAAAAAGACTTTGAACAATATGGATCCTTATGACAATAATTTGACACATGCTGTTCTAAATAATGCAACTTTCTAAATGTTCTATAACACTTGTCACATTTATAAGGAGCAGTCTGAATTAATTCCGGTTCAACATCTTCTTCTATTTTCACTATGGAGTTCATAAATCTGTTTAGACATGTTTTGTCATCCTCTGAACACGATTCATACTCTTCCTCAATTTCCTGTTTAATGTCTTCGATTGGATATTCTTGTGGTTCAATTTTAATTATTGGATCATCAGCAGCTTCTGACATTTTGAGATATTTGTGCACTGAGTATGTTCTATAAGTCACAACAAGAATAGTTGGTTAGTTTAAATGAACTATTGTTAAATATGATAATTTATTTCACTAGAAATTCAAATAAAAACATTTGTTGTTGACAGTTGGAGCATGGAGTATGATTTTAAAGAGTGCATTTTATTTATGCTCTTGTAACATTTTACAGGAGTGTGTGTTTAAATTGTTAATCATTTTCAACAGTCATCAATACAATTGGATATAAGAATATAATATTCGTGTTATGGTTTTGTCTATGAATGTAATCTTACATTAATTTAACAGAAGTCTACTTTTGTCAATGTATGTCGCCAAGATAATTTCTTCTTCGAAAGTCTTTATATTTCACAGACAGTAAATACGATTCAACTACTGTTCAAAGCTTTTGCCTTATTTCAGAGCTGAAATGTAAAGGGTAAAATTAAGCAATAATTATTTTTTGCATTATTTGAAGTTAAATATTTATAGTTCTTTCTAAATAAAATAATTGTAACTAAAAGTTAATCACGTAGAAGAACCTCAAAGTGTTTTACACTACCTTTATGTTTATCAATCAATCACAAATACTGCTATATAATATATATTATTATAATAATACTTAAATTTATATATAATATGTTTATTATGACATTTAATTAATAATTTAATAAACGGAATATAAAATGTTCGTTCAGTACATTAATTTGTTTGACAGTTGAGCGAACTTCATTACTTTGCATCGCTCTAATGTTACCAACCTAGTGCAATCATAGACCTTACACTACATGGACTGCTAAATAGACCATGAATAGACCTTATACTCTCTTTTATCTATTAATCCTTATATGTATCAAAGCAAGGCTCATGCAGGGCCTCTTAAACTTTTGTCATTTAAGACCCATTTATGATTACTAGTTTTTTGACGACCCTACTCAAATATAAAAGAAAGAAAAATTATAATTTTTAGATTATTTATTTATTAGGTAACAATATACTTATATACATATGAAAATATATAGTTTTAGAATTTGTTGTAAAACTTACAAGAATCTAAACTCGATGTTATTGATGATATATATATATATATATATATATATATATATATATATATTTATAGTCATATGTATTATATTAATAACATAATGGCAATTGTGATGACTGATAATTTTGTAAGTAATGATATTAATAATAGTTAATAAAATTTATCATAATAGTTAATGTTATTTTCCCCCGTATATCTTAATGCTCTTATTTTGAGCTCGACTAGAATGTAGAATAATAGCCCGGCCAATTTAAACCAACAATCAACAATCATGGTGAAGGTTACTATAATTCATAATGGGCTGTAACTTGGCAAAATTGTGTAAAGTACAATTATGAAAGAAATCTCAAAAGTCCTCATCGATCCGATGCAAGCTAAAAAAAATGGCACGAGGTCAAAGATAAAAAAATGACCCTTATGCGATTTTTAGCTAAACGGTCAGTTTTATCGCAAAATTACCTGAGACAATATTGTAGAGCATAAAATTATCTACAACAAATGCATCAGAGCCACCGTTTTAAAAATATATAACTTTCGTTTTTTTCAGCGGTTTCCCCAGTAGGCCTATTTTACGAGTCTGCTGCGATTTTGCCTAGAATATTAGAATTTAATGTATTTATATCATAGACATCGTATTACAATGTAATATAAGGACTATGATTCATATTCATGGTGATTCTGTTTGTTTCGAAATACTTGCAAAATAATATTTGTAAATTTGGGTTGGTAAAAATAAAGGCGGTAATTATAAGAAAGCAACTAAATTTATTCCTGGGAGTCATAATTTTTAAATGTTTTTACATCTTTTTGTATCGTTTTTTTATCTTTTTCTTTGTCTTTTTTTCTTCTTTACTTTGATTATAAACTAGTTCTGGTCAGTTGGAGTTCCAGCAGTTCCTCGCAAATAGTCAGAACAAATCTTAATAATAATTAAATATGCTTAATTATCTATGATAAGGTCTACGTGTGTAGTGCAGAAGACTGAGTATGGTGTGCACTCTTTTTTTAAGTAGTGTGTTCCTGACAATGGCGGATCCAGGGAAGGGTCACAAGAGTTATGACCCACCTGAGGACATTTGAATAAACCCTGAACTGATCTTCAACTAAAATATGTTACTAATTCAACAATAAACTAGTGGCGTGCATGGCATCTTGCCTTAAAGCAAATTGCTGGAACTTCCTGTACCGTAAAGAAATGTTCGAGGAATACTGAATGTTTTCAAATAGATTGTTATAAATATTGTAACATGATTGTAACATTGTCTAATATTTATAAGAATTATATAAACTGAATTGCAAAGTTGAAATTATTTGTTTAAAGTATATTAGAACTTTAGTCAGAATTAAAAATAAAATCTGATTTATTTTCGATATACAAAAAAAAAAATTTTTGGAAAAAAAATTGAAAAAAAAAAAATTATTTTGAAACAATTTTTTTTTCCTAAATCAATTATTTTGTTAAATCCCAATCATTACTTATTGAATGTTTTTTAGATCATTTAAATCGGATACTCCGTTCTCTCAAAAACTCGATTTTTATTTTCTGCACTCTTTGCTCTTTATCTCCGTAACTTCTGGACCTGTCTTTGCCAAAAACTAATCATCACATCTCCCTATCAATAGGAATCGAATGTTTTTTGAACCATTCAAATCGGTTGATTCGTGCGCCAAACCCAGACCGAAAAATTGTATCCATACATACATACATACACCCACACACACATACACACATCCATTTTTTCTGAGGTATGCCAAAATGTTCAGAAACCTTCAAAACGTCGAGAAATGTAAAAATTTTCAATTTCGATTTTCAGACGTTTACAATAATTCACCCTACGGGAAGTTAATAATTGCTTCATATTGATTTTATTAACTTTTCGTATTTAGTTCGTTAAAAGTTAATAAAATCATTATGGAACAATTTATTTATTGTTGAATTAGTAACATACTTTAGTTCAATACGAGTTCAAGGTGTATTTATCTGTGTTCAGGGGGGTCATAACACTTGTGACACTCTTCTGGTTCCGACGCTGCCTGGAATACACTACTTAGGGGGCGTCCATTAATCACGTGAGATTTTTAAGTGGAGGGAGGGTTTGACAAAAAACCACTAAATATCACGTAGAGAAGGGTAGGGCATGGCAAGACATAACGTGTATTTATTTTATACCTAAATTTTTTAAAAAAATCCAAACATATGAAAAAAAAATTTTAAAAAATACTTAAAACTCATAAAAATACAAGTGATGTTAGGTTGAGGAAAGGGGGTATTTTTAAATATCAACACAAATAACCAAGTAAGAGGGGGATCCAAAAATTCCTACAAAATTGATCACGTGATTAATGGATGCCCCCTTAAAAGAAGAGTGCACACAACACTCAGTTTTTTGCACTGCACACATTGACCATAGATAAATAATATTAAAATATATTATTAATAGCTAATAATATTTATCATAATACTTAATGTTAATACTCCCCCCCTCCTTTTATCTTTATGCATTTATTTTGATCTCGAGTAGCAGTCCATGTAGTATAAGGTCTATGATTTCACTAGGTTGGCAATGGTAACATTAGAGCGATGCAAAGTAATGAAGTTCGCTCAACTGTCAAACAAATTAAATGTACTGAACGAACATTTTATATTCCGTTTATTTAATTATTAAATAAATGTCATAATAAACATTATATATAAATTTAAGTATTATTATAATAATATATATTATTTAGCAGTATTTGTGATTGATTGATAAACATAAAGGTAGTGTAAAATACTTTGAGGTTATTTCACATGGTTAACTTTTAGTTATATTATTCCATTTAGAAAGAACTATAAATATTTAACTTCAAATAATGAATAAAATAATGATTGCTTAATTTTATCCTTTACATTTTAGCTCTTCTATAAGGCAAAAGCTTTTAACATATTTATCTGTCAAATATAAAGTATTTTGGGGAAGGAATTATCTTGGCGACATACATTATCCAAAATAGACTTCTGTTAACTTAATGTAAGATTACTTTCATAGACAAAACCGTAATATCAATATATTATATTCTTGAAACCATTTGTGTTGACGACAGTTGAGAAAACAAGTAGAGACTGATTATTAACTTAAACATACACTCCTGTAAAATTTCATGAGAGATTAAATGCAAGTATACTCCATGCTCCAACTGTCAACAACAAATGTTTTCATTTATATTTCTGGTGAAATTAATTATCATATTTAACAATAGTTCATTTAAACAAACCAACTATTTTTGTTAATGCTAACAGAACATACTCAGTGCACAAATATCTCAAAATGTCAGAAGCTGCTGATGATTCGATAATTAAAATTGAACCACAAGAATATCCAATCGAAGACATTAAACAGGAAATTGAGGAAGAGTATGAATCGTGTTCAGAGGATGACAAAACATGTCTAAACAGATTTATGAACTCCATAGTGAAAATAGAAGAAGAAGTTGAACAAGAATTGAACTTGAATAAACTTGAATACTCAGTGCACAATTATCTCAAAATGTCAGAAGCTGCTGATGATTCGATAATTAAAATTGAACCAAAAGAATATCCAATCGAAGAAATTAAACAGGAAATTGAGGAAGAGTATGAATCGTGTTCAGATGACAAAACATGTCTAAACAGATTTATGAACTCCATAGTGAAAATAGAAGAAGAAGTTGAACAGGAATTGAACTTGAATAAACATATACTAACTCACACATGGCGACGTCATACATGTAAAATATGTGGTAAGACATTTACAGATTCAAGTAACATGTATAAACATATGCTCATTCACACTGGTGAACGTCTACATATTTGCCAAATATGTGATAAGACATTCACGCAATCAAGTAACTTGAATCAACATATGCTAATTCACACTGGGGTACGTCCACATATTTGCAAAATATGTGATAAGGCATTCACACAATTGTTTGCCTTGAATCAACATATGCTCATTCACACTGGTGAACGTCCCCATATTTGCCAAATTTGTGATAAGACATTCATACAATTGCCTCACTTGAATAGACATATGCTCATTCACACTGGAGAATGCCCCTACAAATGCAAAATCTGTGATAAGGTATTCAAACGTCCATATGTCCTGAAAAGGCACATGGTTGCTCATACCAATGACTAATTAGTATTTACAAAATTGGCCACAAAATTACATACGGCTGCTTATGGAAATTAATGATAATTAGATATATGAATTAATTTATATATTTTATAATATGAATAAACATTGTTATCAATGACTTGTGTAAATATTTTATTAATAATGTTTTACATCCATTCCAGGTTTAATAAGATTTGCAATTGAGCCATAATTGTTAATAGAATCTTCCCAAAAAGTTTACTTTTTAACATAGGGTTAGTTATGATAATCGTCCAAAAATCGAAATTGAAATTTTTTGCATATTTTTATGATTCAGAGGTTTCTAAGCATTTTGGCTTATCTTAAAAAAAATGGATGTGTTTGTGTATGTGTGGATACAATTTTCTGTCGACGAGTTCGGGCGTACGGATCAACCGATTTGGATCATTCAAAAAACATTTTGTTTGTTAACTTCCCGTAGGGTAGTTATAGTAATGGGCCGAAAATCGAAAATGAAAATTTTTGCATATCTTCACGTTTTGAAGGTTTCTGAACATTTTGGCATACCTCAGAAAAAATGTATGTGTGCGTGTGTTTTGTAAGTCCGCATTTTTTCGTCCACGTTTTGGGGCGTGCAAATCAACCGATTTGAATAGTTCAAAAAGCATTCGATTTCTATTGATAGGGAGATGTGCTGATTAGTTTTTGGCAAAGGCAGGTCCAGCCGTTTTCGAGATACCGAGCTAATTATGCAAAAAATGGCTGTTTTTTAGAGAACTAAGCATCCGATTCAAATGATTCAAAAATTTTTTTGTTTGTTTGAACAAAATAATTGCTTTTGGAGAAAAAATATCTCAATTTTTTTTTAATTTTTTTTTTTAGAATTTTCATTTTTTGTATATCGAAAATAATTCAGATTTTAATTTATTTTTAGCTGCCCGTAGGGTAAGTTATTGATGTAATCGTCCAAAAATCGAAATCGAAAATTTTTACATTTCTCGACGTTTCGAAGGTTTCTGAACATTTTGGCATACTTCAGAAAAAATGGATGTGTGTGTATGTATGTATGGATACAATTTTTCGTCCACGTTTTCAGGCGTACGGATCAACCGATTTGAATGGTTCAAAAAACATTCGATTCCTATCGATAGGGAGATGTGCTGATTAGTTTTTGGCAGAGGCAGGTCCAGCAGTTACGGAGATAAAGACCAAAGAGTCCAAAAAATAAAATCGAGTTTTTGAGAGAACGGAGCATCCGATTTCAATGATCTAAAGAACATTCAATTAGTAATGATTGGGAAAAGTGTTTATCAGTTTTTGGCAAAGGCAGGCCCGGCCATTTCGAAAATACGGAGCTAAATGTGCAAAAAATGGCAGTTTTTAAGAGAACTAAGCGTCCGATTTGAATGATTCAAAGAACTTTCTGCTTGTTTTAACAAAATAATTGATTTTGAAAAAAAAAACTTTTTTGTTTCAAAATTTTTTTCCATTTTTTTTGTATATCGAAAATAAATTAGATTTTTATTTTAATTTTGTTTTAATGTACTTTAAACAAATAATTTCAACTTTCTAATTCAGTTTATATAATTCTTATAAATATTAGTCAATGTTACAATATTTATAATAATCTATTTTAAAACATTTAATATTTCTCTATCATTTCGTTACGGTACGGGAAGTTCCAGTAATTTGCCTTAAGGTACGATGCCATACACCCCACTAGTTAATTTTATTTCTGGATAAAGTTCTAAAGCTTACTTATATACTTTTATATAAATAATTTTAACTTTGCAATTCAGTTTATATAATTCTTATATATTATATATTAGACAATGTTATAGTATTTATAATAATCCATTAATCCATAATCTTCTTTTATCTATGGCAATTCACCAATAGTTTACAGTATCATCCGTATAGATGTCCTCACATTCGTTTCTTCAAAATGTCCACTCTTTTCGCCTGACAGTCGCCTATGGCAAACACTTTGACTTATTGACAGATAAATGTTGATACAAGAAACACAATAGAATATTTTAATTAAAATTATTTAAAATGATGAAATAATAAAATATTTTAATGTACTATTTTTACTATAAATCTTTAACAAAAAAGCAATATGGAATTTCCTCAACCGCCTAGTGGTAAATATATATGAACTAAATTTAGGTTACCGCATTTGTAAATAATGTTTACAAATGTAATAATATCTGTTGGTTTTGTTTGTTATTTATTTTTTTATTTCCAGATAATGAAACGAGAAATATTATTGACAAACTGGCGCAATTTGTTGCTAGGAATGGGCCGGAGTTTGAAATTATGACAAAATCTAAACAGGAAAATAATCCTAAGTTTGCCTTTTTGTATGGAGGAGAACACTTTAATTATTATCAGTACAAAGTGGCGGCGGAACAAGCATGTAAATATATTTAATAGTTACTTTAGTTAAAGAAAGACGTAGGATTTAATTTAATGTTTACCAGACAGTTGTTTTTGTGATTGCGAGGTCATAAAACATATTGTGGACACTTCCTTAATACAAATACAGGTAACATCCGTATAACACGGTAGTTAGATACCAAAAAACTAGTGTGTTATTCGAATCCTAGAAAGAACTAGTACAAAAAGAGGCGTTACGTTCCAAGAATCCAAAAAACATGCTACCTATTATATTTTTATAATAAATATTATTAAAATTATTCAATTTTATTAAGAAGTAGTACAAAGGAAATAAATTATGATATTTTCTTCATTATAACTACCAAATAAATGATATCAAAGGTGATCGTTTGCTTTTTGGGGGAGATCATATCCTCTGAGCATTTTTCTGTATTTCTATGCATTTGCAAAAAAAGAGTGCGAGTAAGGTTCACACCAGATGGAAATAAAACTTATTTGCTACTTTACTAGATGGCACTTGAGTAAAAATAAGTACATCATATAACAATTTTGTATAATGTTTATTAGTAACATGGTAACTTGTGATGCACATATTTATTAGTTTCAACCATAATGATAAATTATAAATTTGATATTTATAATAACATCAAAAATATGTATAATATTTAAAAACAATAATGTAATCAAAGTCATCTACTTCAAATATGATGTGATCGGTTTATCATTGTAATTAGCATTTAGAAATGAACCTTCATTAGAGAAATTAAGTAATGATTAATAAATTTATTAATGCTGATTTATAAATTCTATAATATTCGTTCACTCAGTGGACTATGTTAAACAACGCCTTAACAAATATTGTTTTCGCAACTTCACTCATCATGTAATTGTGTTTGAAAAACTTTGTGTAATCAAAATTAACATACATTCATTGACTGCTTTTAATTTTTTTTTACTTTTTTGCTGGCGATATAATCTCATTATTTGAATAGCTGTAATATCAGTCTTGCCTAAAAATATTTTCCATTTTAATAACTTCAAAGATTTATAGAAACTACGAATAATATAGAAGTAATTTCTAATCAATAAACTTACGTTTAGTTCACGGTCCAAATGTTTAATTAGTTTTATTATTTTCAAGGAACGGTGTAAAATATTCTTCTGATTCAGGTATTTTTCATTAAATCAAGATTTGTACTACGATGTATTTTTAAAATTCATTTATCTATTCCGATTTCCTTGTTGATATCGGTACACATACAATGACAGATCTATATTCACAACACGACAACTAATCTCAATCGACCCCTATAGAAATGATCTCATCGAGAGCGAATGACGAACAGTTTGGGCGTAACGAACTTCCGTTGCATTTGTACGGATTTACACCCTAGTCGCGCCTAAAGAAGTTTTACTTCAAAAAAATGATATTTGGTATTACTTGCTTTTAGTGAAAAGATATTTATATTGTTACATTCTTCATTGATACAAAGCACATGGAAATTTGCTGTTATTAAAATTTTGTGCTCAAGCATCTTCATTTAAGAAGTACCACTATTTGTACTGAACAGTGTAGACCTTTCTTTTAATATTTTGGAGTCACTTGATTATAAAATGTCATTTGAGATGGCTTTTGCACTATTTTTAGAATAGATAAAATTTGCTTTTCATAGATTTTACTATATTTCTTATTTTATTAGGGTTTTGCTCAATTCTCAAATCGTGTTATGGCAAACCTGTGCTTTAAAAAAGCCATGATATTTATTTATTTATTTATTTATTTTACAAGCCGTCAATATTTTGCAGATTTATCATAATTTAATTTACAATTTTGTTACTTATATATTGTTTAATTTATTTACTATAAACTTATTTATATGTAGTTAATTTTAATTTTTTTTTTTTTATTTTAATTATTTTTAAAGATAATCAGTTTGTTTGTTGCAAGTATTTTTTTAAAATTCAATGTATTTGTATCAATGAAGAATGTAACAATATAAATATCTTTTCACTAAGAGCAAGCAATACCAAATATCATTTTTTTTAAGTAAAACTTTTTTAGGCGCGACTAGGGTGTAAATCCGTACAAATGCAACAGAAGTCCGTTACGCCCAAACTGTTCATCATTCGCTCTCGATGAGATCATTTCTATAGGGGTCGATTGAGATTAGTCGTCGTGTTTGTGAATAGAGATCTTTCGTTGTATGTGTACCGATATCATTAAGGAAATCGGCATAGATAAATGAATTTTAATAAGCTAAGTTAGAAGGGGCTTGTCTCAATTTTTGAATCCAGTGGCGTATCTACTAGAGTTAATATAAAGAAAACTAAAGACAAATATGGAGAATATATATATAAACTATATTAGATCTCCAGGTATCTGATTTGTATGATTGAAAAATCATTCGGTTCGTACTCGATCGCTAGACGTTTTTGTAAAAGGCACGTCTAGCCGTTTTGGAGGTGCGGTGAGCAAAGGGTGTAAAAATGCAGTTTTTGAGAGAACTGATCATCCGATTAGATTAATTTTAAAAAACCTTTGTGTAGAGGTGTGCAAAGAATGCTTTTACAAAAAAATTCGTAATTTTGAACGATTTCAAAAAAAAAAAAATTGAAATTTGTCATTTTCCAAAAAATTCAAAACTTTAAAGTTTCAAAAAATATCAAAATTTCAAATAAAATTGATTTCTTACACAAATTTGAGAATATTTCGAGATTTTCAAAAAAATCGAACATTTTCAAAAAAATTCAAATTCTCAAAAAATGTAAAATTTTGAAAAAATACCAAAAAAATCCAATTTAAAAAAAAGCATTATGTTTTTAAATAATATAATTTTCCTTTTTCTAACAATTATGGTTTTGTGTCAAATTCTATCAATAAAAAAATAATTTTATTAAAATGTATAAGCTGAATGATGACACACATCAGGTGTCGAAACGTATAACAAAGGAAATTATTTTTTCTTAACTTATTCTTTTATTTAGACGAATGTTCTGTTAAACCATTTTTTCAAATATGTTAACTAATTTTTTAAAATTATTTATATTAAAGAAAATATATGTTTTGTTATGTATTTTCATATTTTTATTAAAATTAAACAGTAACTGATAGTATTTGAATAAATTTATAATTATTAATATGTCGATGAACATTTGTATAATTTTATCAAAATCAATCCCTTATCATTAAAAATGATCCTTATTAAATTATTTAATTAATGCTGAAATTTTTTTATTATCTATACTTCTTTATATATTCTGATTTGTAATGTTTATTGTAATTTTTGTATTTATATTAATTTTTATATTTAATTTATTTTAGTGTTAAAACAACAGCAGCCTATGTTTATGGGGCCACAGCAACAGCAGCAAAATCCAAATGTAAATCAACCACCAGGAAATATTGCAGGACTTCAACAATGGCTTGCAGCAAATATATCAACAGTACCAGGTGGAAATGGTAATAAATTCAAATTATAATATTATAATAACTTAAAATTACAATATTATACTATATTATACTATTATAATATATTATACTATTAAATAATTCTGATTTATAATAATAATAGTAGTAATAATTCTATGTAGTTGTGTTCGATGATGTGAAATCACTGTTTATTATATTTTCAGCATCATCAAGATGTTTGAGATTTTTTTACGTCATAAATATTTAATCACTGTTATTGATTTACTGTCTTATAATAATTATTTTTTTCCACTGTAATAATTATAATTATTAAAGTAGTTATATATTAATGGGCCGCTTCTGCCACACAACAGACCAATGTTATGGCAAGGCCATGTTACACTCCAACTCGCATACGTTATGCTAATGAATCATACTGAATACTGTCAAAATGTCATGTATTTGTTGTGCATTAAGGCGTTTTACACATAAACTGCAACGTCACTTGTATGTTATGAAGCTGGGTCAGAAAGACCCTGTTATCTAAGATCGTTTTTTTGACATTTGTTCGGTTTCTACTTTAGGTTTTTTATCTGAAAGAAAAACGTCTGACTTCTTAGCAACTACATGGCATTGTCAATATTTAGTATGGAAAGTTTTTCATAACATAGCCTTGCCATAACATTGAAATGTTTTGAGGCAGAATCGGTCCATAAATATAATTATGGGGCAATTCTACCGTAACAGAGCTCATAATATAGCAACACTATGTTATGCTTGATAATTGGTAGTGAAAACTGTGAAAATGTCTAACTGTTTGCTGTGCCATCAGGCGTATTTTTCATATAAACAAGCAAGGAAGAATCTTATGGTAACTGCATAACTGAAGATTCTTAACACTTAAGTTTTTGAATATTTAAAATTGATTTAGGATTTTTGGCTAAAAGGTTTTTTTTGTATGCATATATTTATTGACAATCAAAATATACATTATTTTTTAAGATAATATGCTGGTCTTTATGCCCTGGCTAAAAAGTGGACGAAAACTTTGCACTTTTTTTGCTACTCATAAAGAAACTTAACGAGTTTTATCGAACGGTTTAAGGTTTGAAATCGGTTTAGCCGTTTTATGAGATAGATCCTACAAAAATTAAAAAATCGGCTCACTTTCTAAATTTGGTTTCAAACGACTCAAAATGACTTGAAACTTTGAAAAAACATAAATTTAGCAAGTCGGATTTTCTGGCGAAAACAAACTACTTCTGGAAGGGAACAATTATTTTTATAACCAGAATAAAATTTTTAACCCAAACATGAGTTATTTTACAAATGTACGTTTAAACAATTGTAAATTGTACAATTTGTATATTGTATCTTATAAATATAGGTTAATTAGTTAATTTTATAAAAGTATATTAATTAATTTTAATTTAATTTTAGGTTCGGCTGGCCCCAATGTTGCAAATGTACCTATACCTGGAACTAATCCACCTAGTGCTCCGATACCAGGAGTAGAACATGTATGTTTTTTATAAATCTATTATTGTTTTTGGGCCAACATCTAACAAATCCATCAAATAATTAAACATATTTAGTTAAAAAAAATGTCTTTATTGTGGTATCAAACGTTTCGAGTCCGAATTTGAATCATCTTTATTGAAAAAATGAGTGTGTGTGAGTGTGTATGTATGGATACATTTTTTTTCACAATTTTGCGCGCACGACTCAACCGATTTGAATGATTCAAAACACATTTTGCTAGTCTTGTGAATGAAAAGAAAGAATTAGTTTTCAGGGAAGGTTTTTTTTTAAATTTGAAAACTTAAGATATTATTTCCCATTTTTAGCTAATACAAAAAACTGAAAATAAATGCAATTAAATTCAAAATGCAAAAACTTTTTTACTTTATTGTTAAATTCTTCACAAAGGAAGTTGCTGGAACAGATAGTATATAAATAAAATTATTCATTACTTGATTTTTCATTCATCACTTATTCACAATTCATTCATCACTTATTATTTTGATGTAGAATTATTTGCTATTCATTAATTAATCTTTTCTAACTTTTTCAGCTGGTTGCTCAACAAAACACACTACGAGAACAAATTAGACAATCTGAGCAAAATCTAAATGCACAACATGGGGTAAGTATTGAACGATTAACAGGGCAAGTGAAAACCGTGAAAATGTCTATCTATCTATTTGCCATGACAACGCAATGTTATGAGGCAGAATTGCTCTATCAATTTCTCTTCTTATTAAGCTTTATGAAAGTCTATAGTCACTTCACTATTATTTATTACAACAGATAGACATTTTCACAGTTTTCACTATCAAGAAACAAGCATAACATAGCATTGCCTTAACAATGCTATGTAATGAGGCAGAATTGCCTTATGAATCTCTCTTATTATTAAGTTACTTGAAAGTCTATAGTCACTTCACTATTATTTATTACCGCAGATAGACATTTTCACAGTTTTCACTATCAAGAAACAAGCATACCATAACATTGCCTCAACAATGCTATGTTATGAGGCAGAATTATCTTATGAATCTCTCTTATTATTAAATTACTTGAGCATCTATAGCCACTTCACTATTATTTATTACCACAGATAGACATTTTCACAGTTTTTACTATCAAGAAACAAGCATAACATGGCATTGCCTTAACAATTCTATGTTATGAGGCAGAATTGCCTTATGGATCTTTCTTATTGTTAAGTTTCTTGAAAGTTTATAGCCACTTCATTATTATTTATTACCCCAGATAGACATTTTCACAGTTTTTACTATCATGAAACAAGCATAACATAGCATTGCCTTAACAATGCTATGTTATGAGGCAGAATTGCCTTATGAATCTCTCTTATTATTAAGTTATTTGAAAGTCTATAGCCACTTCACTATTATTTATTACTACAGATAGACATTTTCACAGTTTTCACTATCAAGAAACAAGCATAACATGGCATTGCCTTAATAATGCTGTGTTATGAGTCAGAATTGCCTCATGAATCTCTCTTATTATTAAGGTACTTGAAAGTCTATAGTCACATCACTATTATTTATTACCACAGATAGACATTTCCATAGTTTTCACTACCAAGAAACAAGCATAACATAGCATTGCCTTAACAATGCTATGTTATGAGGCAGAATTGCCTTATAAATCTCTCTTAATATTATGTTACTTGAAAATCTATAGTCACTTCACTATTATTTATTATCACACATAGACATTTTCACAGTTTTCACTATCAAGAAACAAGCATAACATAGCATTGTCTTAACAATGCTATGTTATGAGGCAGAATTGCCTTATGAATCTCTTTTATTATTAAGTTACTTGAAAGTCTATAGTCACTTCACTATTATTTGTTACCACAGATAGACATTTTCACAGTTTTCACTATCAAGAAACAAGCATAACATAGCATTGCCTTAACAATGTTATATTATGAGGCAGAATTGCCTCATGAATCTCTCTTATTATTAAGTTTTTTGGAAAGTTTGTAGCCACTTCACTATTATTTATTACCACAGATAGACATTTTCACAGTTTTCACTATCAAGAAACAAGCATAACATAGCATTGCCTTAACAATGTTATATTATGAGGCAGAATTGCCTCATGAATCTCTCTTATTATTAAGTTTTTTGGAAAGTTTGTAGCCACTTCACTATTATTTATTACCACAGATAGACATTTTCACAGTTTTCACTATCAAGAAACAAGCATAACATAGCATTGCCTTAACAATGCTATGTTATGAGGCAGAATTGCCTCATGAATCGCTCTTATTATTACGTTTTTTGAAAGTTTATAGTCACTTTACTATTATTTATTACCACAGATAGATATTTTCACAGTTTTCACTATCAAGAAACAAGCATAACATAGCATTGCCTTAACAATGCTATGTTATGAGGCAGCATTGCCTTATGAATCTCTCTTACTATTAAGTTACTTGAAAGTATATAGTCACTTCACTATTATTTATTACCACAGATAGACATTTTCACAGTTTTCACTATCAAGAAATAAGCATAACATAGCATTGCCATGACAATTGAATCTCTCTTATTATTAAGTTTTTCGAAAGTCTATAGTCATTTCACTATTATTTAAATGATAGCTCAAAAAAATTATTGATTTCTTTATTATTGATAGACAATATTTATTATACAATAATTATTTTTTGCACAGGTATTACTTAGGCAACAGCAAACTCAAATATCGACAATGGCTTCACAATTGGAATCGAATCGAATAAAAGCAGATCTCGAGAAATGTGATATTGAAGTAGCTGATATTGATAAAGTGCTGAAGCCTATTATAGATTCTTGTACAAAGGATAATATTTCTTCAGGTATATAAAACGTAGATGTAGAGAATTAAGATTTCAATATTAAACTAAGTTTCGATCGATTTACTTTTGTAAATACTTTTGCTAGTGTATAATAATAGTATTCAGCCTGAAGTCAGGTCCGTGGTGTGAGATACAAATAAATGGTTACCTTCCTCTTCGTCATCTATCATTCTCATTACCACTATTCTCCCCCCCCCTTTTTACACTTTATTGTATTTTCCTTTCCAAACTTCTGCTTCAATGCTTCCTTTTCTTGCGCTTCGGCTTTCAGTTTCTTGTATTTTCTTTTCTCGTGTACGTCGTCAATTGTCTGCATTCTTCTTCTTCCCATTCCTTTCAGTCTTTTTATTTTACCTACGTTGTGTAGAAGGCATTTTTTTTTGCAGAACGGGTTTGATCCAGTTTCCTTTTTTTTCAAAATTGTACTCAGTAACATTTTTTCTTTACCCACTTTTCTCAAGACTTCTTTAATTTGCTACCTTGCCTGTTTACTTTATCTTCTCCATACGCCTTCAGCACCACATTTCAAAACACCCTATGTAGTTCTGGTCGGCCTTTTTTAAAGTCCATGTCTCTGATTCATATAGCACATTATTAATCTCTTCTACAAGTCGAGGTTTAGTTTGCTCATCAATCGCAATTCTCTTCTTCGTGTATATTAGCATTAAAGGGAGTTCCATGGCATAATGGTTTAACTTGCTGTCTTATGTGAACAGGGTTGTGAGTTTGAGCCCATGCTCTGAATAACCAGATATCGTGCCGTAGCGATGTCCATCTCCACTTGAAAATATAAGGCAGAAATATGTTTCCAATTGAAAATAGTCCATTTAGGGCACTGCGATGTGAAATGAAAATGGGAAATTGTAGTACTTGTAGGCAACCTTTATTTTATTAACTTCCCGTAGGGTAAGTTATTGTAATGGGCCGAAAATCGGAATTGAAAATTTTTACATTTCTCGACGTTTTGAAGGTTTCTGAACATTTTGGCATACCTCAGAAAAAATGGATGTGTGTGTGTGTGTGTATGTTGTATGGATACAAATTTTCGCCCACGTTTTCGGGCATACGGATCAACCGATTTGAATGGTTTAAAAAACATTCGATTCCTATTGATAAGGAGATGTGCTGATTAGTTTTTGGTAGAGGCAGGTCCAGCAGGTACGGAGATAACGAGCAAAGAGTGCAGAAAATATAATAGAAATCGAGTTTTTGAGAGAACGGAGCATCCGATTTGAATGATCTAAAAAACATTCAATTAGTAATGATTGGGAGAAGGGGTTATTAGTTTTTCACAAAGGTAGGCCCAGCCATTTCGGAGATACAGAGCTAAATGTACAAAAAATGGCAGTTTTTGAGAGAACTAAGCGTCAGATTCAATTGATTCAAACAACTTTCTGCTTGTCTCAACAAAATAATTGATTTTGGAAAAAAAAAATTGTTTCAATTTTTTTTTTTTTTTAAATTCTTTGTATATCGAAAATAATAATTCAGATTTTATTTTTAATTCTGACTATAGTTCTAATATACTTTAAACAAATAATTTCAACTCTGCAATTCAGTTTATATAATTCTTATAAATATTAGACAATGTTACAATATTTATAATAATCTATTTGAAAGCATTCAATATTCCTCGAACATTTCGTTACGGTACGGGAAGTTCCAGCAATTTGCCTTAAGGCACGATGCCATGCGCCCCACTAGTTTATATTAACATTTGAGCATTTGAGAAGATTATTTGTACGTTTATTCAAAGAAAATTTGCCGATTTTAATGATACAACAATATTCCCTGTTATTCATATTCTAGTTAAGCAATTTTTGAAGCAAAACTTCTAATACGACTTCTATCATAGTTACGTTAAATGTTTAACGCTCCTAGGTGAGGAAATAGAAAGACACAGTGAAAGTTGTCTGAAAAAGTTTGATTGTCTAAATATGTTTAAGGTTGTTTAAGAATGATGTGATATTGTCTGAAAATACTGTAAAGTGTCTAGAAATATTATTGATTGTCTGAAAATGCTGTAGATTGTCCAAAAAACTGTAGATTGACCAAAAAAGCTGTAGTATGTTCCAAGAAGCTGTAGATTGTCCAAAAAAGCTGTAGATTGTCCAAAAAGCTGCAGATTGACTGAAGAAGCTATATATTATTTCAAAATGCTGTAGATTGTCCGAAAAAGCTGTAGATTATTCAAAAAAGCTGTTGATTGACTGAAAAAGCTGTAGATTGTCCAAAAAGCTGCAGATTGACTGAAGAAGCTGTATATTATTTCAAAATGCTGTAGATTGACCGAAAAAGCTGTAGATTATTCAAAAAAGCTGTAGATTGACTGAAAAAGCTGTAGATTAACTGAAAAAGCTGTATATTATTTTAAAATGCTGTAGATTGTCCGAAAATGCTGTAGATTGTCCAAAAAAACTGTAAGTTGTCATAAATGTTGTAGATTGTCTAAAAAGCTGTAAATTGTCCAAAAAAACTGCAGATTGACCAAAAAAGCTGTAGTATGTCCGAAGAAGCTGTAGATTGACTGAAAAAGCTGTAGATTGTCCAAAAATGCTGTAGATTGACTGAAAAAGCTGTATATTATTTCAAAATTAAGTAGATTGTCCGAAAAAGCTGTAGATTATCCGGGGAAAAAATGGAATATTATTATAAAATACTACAGATTATTCGAAAAAGATGCAGTGTCCGAAAAAAGCTGTAAATTGTCTGAAAGTACTGTAGATTGTTTGAAATAAGCTGTAAATTTTCTGAAAGTACTGTAGATTTTCCTAAATAAACTGTAGATTGTCTGAAAGTACTGTAGATTTTCCAAAAATGCTGTATGTTATCCAAAAAAGTTGTATATCATCTGTAAATATCCAAAAAAGGTGTAGGTTGTCTGAAAAAGCTGTAAGTTGTCTAAAAATTCTGTAGATTGTCCGAAAAAAGCTGTAGATTGACTGAAAAAGCTGTGCGTTGTTCGAAAAAGCTGTATATTATCTGAAAATACTGCAGATTATGCGAAAAAAATTTTGATTTTCCGAAAAAAGCTGTAGTTTTTCTGAAAGTACTGTATACTATCCGTAAAAACTGTAGAGTGATTGAAAAAGCTGTATATTATCTGAAAATACTGTAGATTCCTTGAAAAACGTGTAGATTGTCCGAAAAATGCTGTAGATTGTCTGAAAGATTAGATCTGGAAATACTGTAGATTGTTCGAAAAAGGTGTAGATTGTAAATAGAAGAGGTGTAAATAAGCTCTAGATTGTCTGAAAATACTGTACATTGTCCAAGAAAAGTGTAACTTGTCCAAAAAAAACTGTGGATTATCCGAAAATGATATAGATTGTCTGAAAATGATACATATTGTTCGAAAATACTGTAGATTGTGTGAAAACGATATAGATTGTTCAACAAATTGGTGGATTATCCAAAAATTATATAGATTGCCTGAAAATGATATAGATTGTTCAAAAATACTGTAGATAGTAAATACGGTAGTGAGAATATAAAGTAGTTTATCATACTCAGATAACCAGTAGTCCAGTTTATCTAAAAACATTGTATTTTATCTTAAAATGCAGTGGATTATATTAAGTTTACTAGAAAATCAAATTCTACCCTTATTTCGTAATTTTATATCCACATTACGTAGTAAAGCAACCCCACTGTTAGCATTATTTCAAATTATTTATATAAACATGTTAATGTTATGAAATAGTTAACAATTAATCCATGAATTAATTAAATTTTTTTTTTGTCATTAATATTTTTCTTGTTTCTTTTTTCAGGGAAGAGTTGGATATTACAAAATGCAACGACTAATGCTCATGCAGCAGCTATATCACAGTATCTTTTAGAAAAGTGAGTCCTTAAATTATATTCAAATATTAATATGTTGTTAATAATGTACTAATTTTTTATTGTGGTTGTTTCAGAGTAATTCAGCCCGATGCAAATTTTGCTCAGAAACTGCACATTATATATTTGGTTAACGATGTTCTTCATCACTGGTAAGATAATAGAAATATAATAATGGATAGCTGTTATAATATTGAAAAAAAATTTCTATAGGTTTAATAGCTATAAATTTAATTAATTAATGATGATGAATTTATTAAAATTCAAAATATTATTTATTTTCAGTGCCAGAAAAAATGCTGAAGAACTAAAGAAATGTTTGGAAAATGTTGTTGTGCCAATGTATTGCAATGCTCATAGCATGGGTAAGTATATTGATATAATTATTAATTAATTTTGCTCATTACATATTTAAATATATATCTATATTTTTTCCTTTTTAGCTGATATCACAGAAGAGCAGCAAGCAAAATTAGACAAACTGTTACGTCTGTGGGAAGCAAAAGCAAATTACTTTGACAGCACATTAATTGAAAAATTGAAAAAACAGAACTGTCTCTTCGAGAATATCAGGCTGGGCTTTTGCAGCAGCATGCTGCACAACTTACACCATACACGCAGCACACCAGGCAGGCCTTCCAAGGGTAAGGGATAAATAAAAATTAATTAATTAATCAAGAATTTATTATATATGATAATTACTATATATTATATTTGTCTATTACCTAGTTATCAGCAGCAGCACCAACCATTTGATATATAATAATTAATTAATTAACCCAAAAATTTAATATATATGATAAATTACTATATAATTTATTTATGTCTTCTATCTAGTTATCAGCAGCAGCATCAGTCATTCGTCGGCCATGCAATGCAACAAATCCAGAACATAGACACCCAAATTGTAGATCTCCAACGAGAGCAGCAGCAGCGGGAGCAGCAACAGAGAGAGCAGCTAATGATGCAAAGAGAAAGAGAGCAACGCGAACAGCAAATAATGCGCGACAGAGAACGCGAACAGCTCATGCAGAGAGAGAGAGACCGAGATAGGGAACTTATGCAGAGAGACAGAGACATGCGAGATAGGGATATGAGAGATAGAGATATGAGGGATAGAGATATGAGAGATAGAGACATGAGGGAGCGAGAGATGTTGCAACGAGAGAGAGAACAGATGGCCAGGGACATGGAGAGAGAGCGGGAGTTGATGATGATGGAACAGGAGAGAGAGATGGAGTACATGCAGCAGCGGCAGATGGATCACATGTCGAGGGATCAGGGTGGTATGATGCATAAGGGAATGATGATGCCGAGGGATCAGAGACCGAATGCCCAGGGAGGAGGGATACAACCGCTTATGCAGTTGAAGGTTGCTAATCCTAATGAACTCAATCCACAAGGTAATAGAAATAGACATATAATTGTAATAGACATATAATTTTATCTGATAGCAGATTATTCTATCTATGCTAGATTTCATATCAAATTAATTCTCCAATTTTTTCCTTTCAGCGAACAACCTACCACCACCTCCTCTACAACAGCCTCCGCCTTTAATACCGAACTGTTTCTCTCTCCCGCCTCCGCCACTAATACAGAACCAGCCTGGAACTCCTCAGCCTGGACCAAACAAGAACGGACCAATGGTAGCCAGTCCAGCAATCATGCCGCCTGGTATCGGTGGATTGTTGCCTGATTTATCAAAACCACCACCAGGTTTTCCTCTTGTGCCACCGAATATCGGTATGGATATGGCTTTTAATAATATGCATGGTAATAAATGGTTGTGGGATCATTAAAATTTAAATAGTTAATACTTTATATAGCATGTTGTAATATATTTGTTGGTTATTTATATGTGTATAATTGTTGATCTTATTTAGGTCCAGGTATGATGGGACCTATGGACACAATGGAGGACTTGACACCTACAATTCCATACTTTGATTTACCTGCAGGACTGATGGTACCACTGATAAAGGTAAAAACAGTAACAATTGTAAAAATAATAAGATTTTTTTTCTTATTGTTTATTTGTTGACTTTGTATACACATTCATTAGTCATATAGATTTTATAAGTCTTTATGCTTATTTGATTGTATATAATTATATATAGATACTATATATTCTTTACTTTGGCAATATTGTTATTAAATTGGTTGGGAGGGAGATTTTTTGCCTTACTATCTCCTTCCATAGTTTTTGCCTACCCTTTTCCCATGTTTTTCACACCATAATGGCGTGCTCAGCATCCGCCCTAGTCGCTCCACCCATAATAAGATTTTAAGATTATCATTGTTTTTCCTTATTCCGACATTTTTAGACTTTTCCATCAATTTGAAGGTACCTTACAAGTAACTAACAATAAATAAAGTACAATAAATAAAGATTTATTTATTCATCAAAGCATGTTATAGATTATCCTTTATCCTTTCAGTTGGAAGACAACGAGTTCAAACCATTGGACCCAGCTGATATCAGACTACCACCTCCAGTCCCTCCGAATGAACGATTACTGCAAGCTGTTGAAGCCTTCTACATGCCTTACAGTCATGATTGTCCGAGAGACAGGTGAGTCTCAATTGTAGTTAGTTAATTTGATGAACAACCCTTTGCACTCGTACATCGTCTTGATAGAAATCACTTTATATTTGCTGATTTCGTGCTTTGGATATTAAATTTTTTTATAAATTTAGAATGGCAAAGAATTGGAAATTGAAAACAATTGATTTGGCAGTAATAATTTATTTATTTATTTATTTATTCATTTATTCAACATCCACAATTTGATACCATCATCGCTGGTGAATTTTTTACCAATCAAGGAGTTTTGTAAAGATTAAAACTAAAAGCAATCAAACCATTCGGACTGCATGGTGGATGTGGTAAAATATCCCAACCAGCTCCAATAACTTTGCTTGAGTGGTCAAAGATGTGTGACCATGCGTTGTCAATGTTGAAATATAGATGTAATACAACAACTTTTCAATGTAGACATAGAAATAATCAGGAAACTTCATTGTAATTCTACCAAACTGATAACAAAATCGTCTTCGGATTTCTATCAGCTTTTTGTGTTGTTTGAGCCGGTTCACCTGATGCACCATCATAATTAATCAGGATTTTTTTTTGTAATTCTACCAAACAGCTAACAAAACCGTCTTCTGATGTCTATCAGCTTTTAGTGTTGTTTGTGAGTTGGTTTATCTGGTTTACCATCAGAAATAATCAGGAATTTTTTTGTAATTCTACCAACTCATAACAAAATCGTCTTCTGGTATCTATCAGCTTTTAGTGTTGGTTTGAGCTGGTTTACCTGGTTTACAATCAGAATTAATCAGGAAATTTTATTGTAATT